CTAGATATATATATATATATATAGGATATATGTTCTATATATATATATATATATATAGGATGGAACTACTTGCATACACCCTTAAACTCATATCTATTATCTATTGACAAAACTAATCTAGGGGGATTTCCTTGACCATAGATACTCTCGACCCTAGTGAAAAATACCCAAAAAATAAAAAATAAAAAAAAAATGGATTTCTTTAGGATTGGGTGAGTATTTGCTATCCATTTTAGATCTAAGCTTTCATGAACTCAACTGAAATCTCATTAATCGTCAAATTGTTCATCTGGTGACTACAATAACATTTGCAAGATTGTGGTCAAATAAATTAAGGTGTAGATCTAATTGTATTTTTATGTTTCCTAAAATGGATGGCCCATATTTGCTGCATTGTCTCTTTCCGCAAAGAACCCATTTTATTTTTTCCTTCATTTTTGTAGGAGCTTGTTTATTGGGATGACTATGGAACTTTGACAAAATTTGTTCTCAAACAAATCTCCCTTTTGGATTGTGAGCTAATGATATAAAAATTAGCTCAAGCGTACATTTTAGTATATTTCCTTGAGATATTGATGGATAGTGTGCAAAACTAGAGCCAAAGGTGGTGATCAATGTTTTGAATTGCAGATACACAGTTCAATATGAGCATAATCTACTATTTGCTACATTCAAGGTATGAGATCTGAATGCCAATGTTCTTACTTCTATCAAAGTTTCAATAAATATTTTGCTCGTTATCTTACATATTGAAGTAAATCATGGTGTGCCAATTCAACAGGGTGCTGGGCACACTGTTGCAGAATACACACCTCACGAATCACTGGTGGCCTTCCAACGATGGATTGACGGTGCTAATAACCTCTAAGTGGACTCCACCTTGCAAATGATAAATATGTAAAAAGTTTAATCCATTTGGGTTAGTAATTCATAAAGTCCATGTTATTGTTCTCTGCCCATTTTATAATGGAATCCATTTCCAACTTTGATAAACATCTTAATAGTAAATATAAGCAAGCATTTTCTCAAAAAAATCTGTCAAAAATTTTATTTTATATGTGGGTTGTTATCTTGTAATGTGTCTCCCTCTCAATGCCATGCTCCTTCTAGTCAGTAGTGTGGAATATCTTTTCACCATGAACTTATGCATGCAATCATGGATGTTTGAAACATTTGGTGGTAAGTTCAAGGCGACCCCGATTCTTGTCCAAAACAAACGTTCAGCCCAACTCCGTTGATTTATTACAATGTTCATGGCTTTTGTGTTTCATGTATAATAAGGAATTGGAAGTGACTCGCATATTTCTGTTAGAGAAAGGATTCATATGGACTTCAAAAAAAATGCATTTCTGAATTGAAGGAAACCAGAAAATTCTCAAAAGAGGGAGAGCGCAACAACAAATCTCTCATAAAAGGGAGATCTCAACAACCATTAATCCAATATCATAACTCTAGAACACGAAAGTTCGAATGGAATATTACTAAAATTTCACACCACCTCCTCACAATGGACATATAAGAGTCTATCTATAAGCATAACCAAAAAATTAACTTGAGATCTAACAAAATAATTTTAAAACTCTAAAATACACCTAGATAATATTAAAAATTCTAGAAATATCATTGTGAACGTACTCATGAACAGTAGCTTTTGAATTGTAAAATAAATAAATAAAATAGAAATTACATGTTGGAGATATCTTCAGTGAGACTACATCAATCCCCCATGGCTAGAAGAAGAACTTGCCCTCTTGTTCTTTATGAGATCCCTTTTTTTAATGATTACTAAACCTTTTATACTTTTGAATTTACCTTTGGTAGTTGGTGGTATAGTCCTACCACATTGGCACTCTTTCATTGGATCTCGGTGTAATAATATATTGCATATAAGGTTGAATAAAATCCTTCATGAATAATAGTTGAAATTCATTTGAAAATCCTTCGGGTTTTCATGGTCGTTACTAAACATAAATTTTAAATATTTACAATTATTCTCACAATAAAGGAGCAGATTTTCAACAGATACCTCTTTGATCTTATGTTCTTCATTTGGATCCTTATCGTATATAAGCTCACTAATTATGTCAATAAGTGGTGATTCAATCTTGCAATCTGAAATGATACCTGCAAAGGGATTCTCTTCAGACGATTTTAGAAAATGTCCATGTAATGTCAGGTAGTTAACGTGATTCTCATGCAACTCATACTCTCCCAACATGCCTTCAGAGTTTGCAGCTCAATAGATCATCAAATCCATCAGTTGATCCAACCTACGCACAACCAAGGTTTTGAGGATCTCAGGTTCGGTGTGATGAAACCTATTCTGATACCACTTGGTGCAGCGATAATCAAAGAAAGTGAAGAAATCTTAAAAGCGGGCGACCGTAACATGCATTGATCTAGCATCACTACTCTAGAACTCAAAAGTTCAATTAGATTATCATTAAAGTTTCACACCACCTCCTCACCATGGGCAAATAATGATCCTTAATAATATTTTAAATTTGATAAATACCTTTGTGAACAAAACTCATGAATAGCACCTTGTGAATAGTAAATTCTATAAATAAAGTTCACAAAACTCATGAATAGCAACTTGTGAATAGTAAATTCTATAAATAAAAGAAATATCATGTGCTAGAGATGAACAAGATTTCATCAATTTCACAATCGTTTTTAAGGATCCTCTACCAAGAAAAAGAGAAGTAAGAGCGGTCTACCCTCCTGTATTTATCATTGAGAGGTCTTCCTGTATAGTAATTTGTATTGCCATTCTACCTTGGATTAATGCGATAGAATGAGTTACGCACGTGCAATTTAGTGTAATGGAAATCGAAAGACAAATAAACAACTAAGACAAATACAAAGGTTTTAGAAAATGGATTGGTGACCTAGAGCATTTATCTAAAAACTAGCTTCAGATTGGCAAATCAGCAGTCTGGATTGGAGAACTCGTTGGATCCAGACTAAAAATATTTTAAAAATCAATAAAAATACCTAAAAATACGGTTTTTCGAGTAGTGGTGGTGCATTATGTATTTTAATTATCTTGTAAAAATATGTGAAAATTGAGATGCGTTTCCTATCTGAGTGTCTATTTATATTAATTTTGATACTATTTTTATACTAATTTTGATAAATTCCTTTTACAAAATCTTTTTTACTTATTTTGTGATTTTTAGTGAAGACATGAGGGAGAAAATGATTTTTGTAATTTTTCATAAGAATTTTGTGATACTAATTGCAATTTTTATGCATGATTTTTCTCTCACATATACATTGGATCTCTCTCTCATACATACACAAAACATATGGCTGACATCTCTCTCATACATACACACACAAGTGTGCAACCTCTCTCTCTATCTCTCGTACACATATAAAGATAATGGGCAACTCTCTCTCTTTCTCACTCACACAAATGCACATAAAAACACATTGGATATCTCTCTCTACCCCTCTCTCTCACAAACATATTGGAGAACTCTCTCTCTCTTTCATAGCTTCTATTTTGGTTGAGACTTCATTTATTTATTTATTTAAATTAGAAATATTAGAGTGTTAATCCATTCCTTCACTTCTTCTAGTCTAATTTCTATAAAATCCTCTTATTTTCATGTATTGCATATGTAGAACATATCTCCATATCCCATATTTTTAGGTTTCATTTCTTGATAAACCCAAAGTTTCAAAAAATATCTTCTAACCCCTTGCCACTTTAAACCCATTTTTTAACCTAAACAAATGTGAGAAAGACATGTTATTTCTAAACCCAATCCTTTCTCTCTCTTCACTTATATACCCCAAACTTCTTTTTTTCTCTCTCTTCCTACGTTTCTCTCACTCTCCCTCCTCCTGTATCTCTCCAAACACTTCTCTCTCCTTCCGATAATTTTCACCTCCATGAAGCCCTTCTCTCTCTCTCTCTCTCTCTCTCTCTCTCTCTCTCTCTCTTTCTCTCTCTCTAGAAGTTTGGGATGATGGCTTTTAGAAAAGGCATATCTTTTTAGATTTGTTTAGCCTAAAAAAATACGTTTAAATTAGCTCTGGGGGTTAGATGAAATAAAATCTACAATTTTTATGCCCCAAGATATCTTTTAAAACCTCAGGTATTTTGTGAAATGAAACCTAAAAATGGGAGTATGAAGATATTTTCCCTTATAAAATTAGAAGATTATTTCGTCTTATAAAATCTTCATGCTATAAAATCTTCATATTATATTTTCCAAAGTTCCATAGGTAAAGAATATTTTATGTGTGGTAAAATCTTCTTAGATTTTATATGTGATTTAAAATTTTCTTATTTTACTAAGTTACATAAGTAACATCTTCTTAATAGGCCTCGTTTTGTAAAATATAAGTTTTTCAATACTAAGGAATTAGAAAGAGAGAAAGAGAGAGATATATGATGCCACATCGTAAATGTCAGAACGAAAGGAGAGGCAAGCAAGTTTAAAAAGAGTCTCATGCCCCAGAAAGTGATAAGCATGCCCAAAGCCCTCTTATGCATGGGTGGCAGTTGGGCCCAATGGGTAAATCATCAACATCGTCTAATTTTTATCCTAATTATTTGGTGGCAGCTATAAGAATCATGTTCTGTCATTCTATTCTATCAAGGACCATACCCTCAATAAGACTATAAATCACTATATTTTTTCTCACTATTTCTATCTATATCTGTTTGGGGCTTCCCCTTGCCCTAATTGTTGTTATATTAGGCCTACATTACACATGACTAACCCTTCAAAGTCTACTTTTCCTCATCTTATTTCCTATTGAAGCCATACTTAAATTTTCTTAATTGTATTTATTATGAATTTTATTTTTTTTTTAGGAAAAAGTTTATATAAGGTTGCATCCTTAAAATGTTGAAATACGGATGCACTTAAAAAATTCATTGGAAAATATTGTTTTAATATTGAAAAACCCTCTAGTTGATTATCTCGACATAGAGATGTATGAATATGATCAAAAATAGATTTTGAGTCCCTGAAGTAGTGCATCTTACAGCACATTATCTAGACCATCCATTTTCAATATGTTTGTAGATCTACTTGATTTTAACTATTTTTGGAGCTTATAATTTTATAATTAGATATAAAAATAGAATTTGAGATAATCCTAATAATTTCTTACACTAAAATTACATGTTATGATAGAATTTGGAGGTGTATCTTAATTGGGTTGTTTAAGGTTGCAACCTTATAGAAACCACCCCTTTTTTTTTATCTTGTCACATCCATCTCAACATCCTCATCTACGTTGCATACACCTTGTGGGTATATTATTTCTCGATTGCCTAACCTTCTATCCCACATAGTATGACTAGTCTTATAGAAATTTTTCTTCAGTTTCATTAGTATACGATGATCACATCATACTCGGGATGCACATCTCCTCTTCGCCTACACAGTTTTAATTCTATGCATGATATATTCCTTAATTTCTACATTCTCCTGGAGTATTGACCCAAGATATCAAAAATAATATCGTTTAGATAATTCTTGGTCATCAATCTTAACTACTTCCTTGTTTCTACTCCTATTGTTACTAAATTGCACTGTATATGTTCTGTCTTAGACCGATTAATTTTAAAACCTTTTTATCATAGAACGTCCTTCTAAAGTTATGAATTTGCGGTGATGCCACTTCTAATCTCATCAATCAAAACTATATCATCTATGAACAATATACACTATGGTACCTCATGTTGTAAGTGCCTAATAACGCACCTATAACCAAAACAAAGAGATATGGTCTCAACGTTGACTCCTTATGTAAGCTTATTGCCATTGAAAACTAACTTGTCTCTTCACTAATTGTCCTTACACTAGCTAGT